CTTGTCATCCAATCCACGTCGACCGGCACGTCCCGCCATTTGGATGTACTCGCCAGAGCTGATCCATCGGAAGTCCTTGCCATCGAACTTACGCGGAGCCGTAAATAGCACAGTTCTAGCCGGCATGTTAAGGCCCATGGCAAAGGTTTCGGTGGCGAACAAGGCCTTGATCAGACCTTCCCCGAACAGAATCTCTATGGTCTCCTTCAGAATTGGCAGCAGACCACCATGATGGATGCCAATGCCGCGACGCAACAGCGGCAATACGTTTTCCACCTGGGGCAGCCGACGATCCTCCTCCGTGAGCACGTCCATGGCATTGTTGAACACCTCGTCGACTAGTTTCTTTTCGTCCGGAGTGTTGAAGTCCAGCTTGGCCATCTGCATGGCATAGATCTCGCAGTCCTTCTTGCTGAACGAGAAAATGATGACCGGTGCAAAATTGCGCTCCATAATCATCTTGACGATTTTAAAGATATTTGTTTGTCCGGCATTAGTTCCTTTAATGCCACCATTCCGCCCTTTCTGATCGCCCTTCCCAGCCTCACCTGAAAAAAAAAATGGAAATTAAACAAAGTTTGGAGTTGTTTTACACTTGATTTACCTGCATTGGCCAGCACTGCCATTGCAGTGGTAAAGTTGTCCTCCTTGAACTGCCCCTTTTCGTCGACGATAAGATGGATGCCATCGCCTCCGGCCGGGAAGATGTAGTGTTGCAATGGAGTGGGGCGGTAGTCGGTGTAGACAACGTGACATGGCTGCTTGTGCAGGTGGCAGACCCACTCCGCGAACTGCCGAGCATTGGGAATGGTGGCCGAAAGGAACACATACCGCACATTGTCTGGCAGAAGGATGAGCGTTTCCTCCCAAACGACGCCGCGCTCCTTGTCGCGCATGTAGTGAATCTCATCGAAGATCACCCAGCCCACCTCGCGCATGATCTCGCTGCCGCGGTACAACATGTTCCGTAGAATCTCGGTGGTCATGATCAAACAGGAGGCCGATGGATTTATGGTGACATCACCGGTGACCAGTCCCACGTCCTTAAACTCGTCGGTGAATTCGCGGAACTTCTGGTTGGACAGAGCCTTTATGGGAGTGGTGTATATAACCCGCTGCTTGGCGGCCAATGATTTAGCTATGGCATACTCCGCCACCACGGTCTTTCCGGCTGACGTGTGGGCGGAAACCAGGACACTCTGGCTGTTGTCAATGCACAGAATCGCCTGGCGCTGGAACGGATCGAGCACGAAGGGGTATTCCTTCGCCGGCACGCCGCTGAACGGCTGTAGGGGTATGTACTCCTGGTCAGGATGGGCGGCAACCTCGTGGGTGCATGACTTGGGAGAGTCCAATAAGTGGGTCACAATCCTAGTGCGCAGGGCCTCCAGAGCCGCAGAATCATCCAAATCGAGGGTACGAGTGGGCTCGTCATCTGCATCGTCGTCATCCACTGCAACAATGGACTCCTCCTGCCTCAGACGCTTGGTGGGCTCCTCATTGTCGTCTCCTTTGTCAGCTCCTTCCGCTCCTTTGGAGGATTGAGCGGAAGCGGTGTCCTCCGCTTGCCGTTTGCTTCCCTTTTGGGCGCCACCGCTTCCCGTTGGCTTCTCCTTCTGGTTAACTACCGGTGGCGGCATCGCCGGCGACACCTCATCAAAGCAGTCGAATAGCTCTTCTATATCCATGCCGCGATTTGTATTTACTGTCTGTTTTTTTACGAACTATTTCAACGCACGCCGCAAAACATGTGAAGAGCCGATAACACGATTGCAATTGTTATCGGTTCAGCAGACCGATGTCAGTGAAGAACATCTAGCTATTTTGAGGGAAAATAAAAATAAAAATAAACGGTTTCCAGGAACTTGTTAATCTAATATAAAAGAGAATTATATTGCACTTCTGAGAAAAAAGAGACAAAGAAAAAGAGTACATCTGTATGTTAATCACCATTTATGCTTCTCAGTCTGGAAAATCGATCGAAAAGCGGTATATAAAAAAGTATTTCAATTTGCTTAGATAAAGGCAACTGTTTTTTGTCTTTATGGCATCTTTCAATGTCGCTATAGATTGTAGTTGGAATATATATGTATGTATATATATTATATAAAAATAAATCAAATAATTAAAAATTAATAAATGTATAAGCTCCAAAATGTAGAAAAAGCTAAAATATTATTCAAAGTAAGTGATTATGTATGATGGTGTGACCATCATGTTTTTGGCATATCCGTAGTGCATATAGAATATACATATGTACTACTTTACAGGATAGTAACGCTTACTTCTACCTGTTGCATACTTTTCAACGGACCTAGTATACCCTAGTATTAACGGGTATAAAGAAAACACCACAGTTCGGTTGCTGGCTGAGCGGTTTCTGGTATATTCGAGAGTGCGGTCACACTGGCGGCAACAGCTGTTCTGTTTTTCCATTGTCGTTGCCCGACCAAATTATACAATTGTTGGCGTTTTCCGACGTCCACATCGCAGAGTCCAGGAACAAACGGTGCAAAATGGTAGCTGGAGGTGCCTCGGATACGGGCGGCGTGAAGCCGATGGTCATTGCGGGCCGCATGGTGCGGGAGCGGGAGCGCCTGATTGGCATGTCGCCGGAGGAGCGCGCCTGGCGCAAACAGTGGCTGAAGGACCAGGAGCTACACCACGGACCCCGCAAGGTGCCCGCCCTGGAGCTGGAGCTGAACAATCCCATTAAGCGCTTCTACCGCGCTCCCCTGGACAAGGTCTGCAATGTTTTGGAGCCCGTCCTGGTGAGCTATTGTCATGGGCATTATGTAATCAAGTTTTTGACCGATTCCGCATGCGTTCCTTCGCCTGCAGGGCTTCCAGCGGGCGTTCACCGTGCGCTACTGGACCGGCAAGGCGCTGCTCGCCCTCACCGGAATCTACGCCGGCGCCTACTACTTCAAGTACAACCAGAATGTGAGTAATGGTTAAAGAATGCAGGTTGGCTAAGCCATAGGTCATGCCTGGTATCAAAGGGTAATGGATCAAGCAGAAACGCGTACTCGTAGGAAAAATAATTTCAATCTTCAGTCTAAAATTATAAATCCCATTCTAAAACAACATACAAAAATTAATATATATTACATATATTCAAGCGAGTGCAAACGCAAGGACTTACGTGTTGACACCTAAACCGATTTAAGCTGCTCATCGGGAATTTAAAGCTGCTGGGCATTGACCAAAACTATAAAAACCTTGAAAAACTGCTTAGGCCTTTAAAAGTCTAGAAAGATTAGACGAATATACTTTATTAAGCTATGTTCAGGTCAATATTTACTGCTTAATCGTTTACAATATGCATGTACACATAGAATAATTATAGCTTAATGAAAACTCAACCTCTTATTTAAGGATTGGACCCGGAAGGGCGGCTGGCGTGTGATCCACTCGCGCAAGCAGTGCGTGCCCGGAGACGAGGGCTACCCCAAGGTCTCCGATCGATCGGCGCCATCCGATTACGCGGCTCGCGGATTCAAGGAGTCGCCTCTGAAAGCTTGAGGATCGTCCCCGAGGTGGCTTAGTGATTTTGCTTAAGTTTCAAACGTAAATTAATAATATCAAAACAAAAATCGCAATAAATATGGAAACGAAAACACAGGGAAGGAGATTGAGAGTGGATTGTGGTTTTGCCATGGCTTCGCTGTTGAAGAAGAGGTTTTTCTGCTGAGCTTGGCGGATATTCTTTTTTGGCAACTCCAGCACTTTGGCGGTGTGCTCAATTCGCTGAAATTGTCAATTATCGGCAGTTTTCTTTTATTTCGGTTTTCGAGCTTATGAAGAAACCAGGCTGCGGTCGTTGCTCAAAGAAAATGAGATTTTCTAATCCGGTGTGGCACTTGGCATTTAATCAAATAATATTTATGTGAAATTGATGCAACGTCCAAAAATGTTAATAATAATAAAATTATGTGAGAAAAGTAAGAGTCAGCAGTAAGTCAAATTGTTTTGAAGGTGCAATGAAAGTAATTCTTTGGTTAAACTAAAAAGCAAACTGGTTATATTGGAAAAATAAAAAGTGATTAAGTGAATTAATTAAAGAGTACTGAATATAACAGGTACATATATTAGGAAATAAAGTGATTAGTTAACAAAATTAATTTTCAAAACGTAAGTCAATGAAAACTCTAAAAAAATACTCAGATAACATATATAAATAATATGGATTTTCTTTTCCGGATTCAAATTCGTGTTAATAAATAATAAAAAACGAAACTAAAAATTAGCCATGAAAACTAGCACTGCAAGGAAAATTCTTCGGTAATTGTTATACATGAAATGGTTATTTTTTGGATACATATAAATATTTGTAATTTAGTAATGTGGATTGAGATCAAAATCATAGCAACAAATTTAAATAAACCGCGCCTCTGGAAATCAATTTGTGCGCGTTATTTAAAGTTTGAGTCTATTTGAGTGAAATCCGTTATCGTTTAAAAAAATTAAAACTTTAAGTGAAAATGGTTTAAGCATCTCTTGGAATAAAAATATCTTGAGTTGAGTGTTCTTTTTCAATTTGCTTACGAGTATCTATCGCATGATTAAAACGAAAATATAACAAAAAAATAAAAATAAAATATATAGCGAATTAAACATAGCCGTTCAAAATGGGCGCCCAACTCAAAGTCACATTATTTAAAATTCGTTAAAGATTCAAAACACCTTGGGCTTGCAACTGAAATTAGGTAATGTAATTTAATTGCCGAAAAGAAATTTAACATTAAACACGTTGCACACCTTTAATGGTTGCAAATGTTGCGCGCCGTTTGGAATCACTTATAACGATTGAGTAAAACCCGAAATCCGGATATGAACAACATGGAAAAAATATACAGTGCATTAAAAGTCATGTTTGTAAAAGCGAGTAATATACAAGGTAAACGAAAACGAAAACAGCTCCCCATCAAAGTGTGCAATTCGGGATTCAAATAGCGCGCCAAATAAAAATCCCGCGACGTGATCGGCCGAGGTGGCAGCGCCGCCACCGCCAAACTCTCTTTGCGCCGTGTGGCCAGATGATTGCGTTCTTCAGTGTGCGGCTATTTGCTCTTTCTGCGCCGAGTTGAAATATCCGATCGCCGCCGCTTTTCGCTCTTTTCATTGTGCCAGTTTCTTCATTGTGCGGCTATTTGCTCTTTCTGCGACCAGTAGATTTGCCACTTTGTCGATCATTGTGCCAGTTTTTGTCGTTTGAAATTGTGGCCAACGGAGATCCCATCGAATTGGCCTTGACTGGCGTGGGGTTGAGCTGGCCGTGAAAAAGATCCCAGAACCACGAGAATACGACCCCTAAAAAGGTGACAAAAAGGAGGTGAAACTGCCTTGCTGGCTGCCGTGCACTGGTGTGTGTGCGTGCGCGTGTGTGTGTTGTGTGTGCGGCGATTGTGTGTGCAATTTTTTCATCATCACTCCAGCCCGCGTGTGTTTTTCAGTGTGCAATCCATCCGAGAATTTGCCCAAATCCTGCCCACCAGCAGGTGAGTGATACCGCCCATTTGGCCAGTTCGATATGGAGCAGGTGCAGGCTTATAAAGTTCGTGAACTTGCCTTTTAAGAGATCTCCTTTAGACATCTTTTTCCCCCATCTACATTCTACCAGTCGAAAAGTAATGGAAAAAAAACGTGAGCAGCGACGTCGACGTTTTTTTCCTCTCTCTCTCTCTCTCTCTGTTCCCCTTGCGCGCTCTTCTGCACCTTCTCCTTTGTGCTCGCAGCTGTCATCGCTGTCAGCAGCGCGCGCGGCGACGTCGGGTTCCCGCGCGCGGGAAATCGCCAAGTTCAATCGATTCTATTTTGCCCGAATTAAACGGGATTTTTGATTTTAGTGAAAAATCAGATTCTGCGAGCTTTAATCTTTCAATTGGTTACTGGCACGCATAGGTTTTCATTTAGCTTGGCGGATTTATTAGCTCTCGAAGTTGGTGCCAAAAATGCTCGGATGTTAATCGATGACAACAACTAAGTGGCAGCGGTTTGTTTGGTTTCAGAGCAGCGTTGCCACCTGGTTGGGCCTCAGTCATTTTGTCAGATGTTTTTATCTTGCAGATCATTAAATAACTAGAAAAGCATATTAAATTAGGCAATTTAACGGTTCTAACGAATTAATTAGTAAATAAAATCGAACGGAATAATGGATACTCCTTAAGATACATTTCTTTTGATCTTAAACTCATTTTAAAGCAGTTTAAAAATTAAAAAAAAAAAAAAAAATTGTCAACATTTGAATTTATAGTTTTTGAAGGCCGTATATGAATTAAATTTAAAATTTGACACGAAAAAAAATTGTAAATATTTCCTGTTAACCACGATATATTCGTCTAAATCCCCCCTTCTGGCATCCTCGTCAGCTGTTTTTCGACCACCCAGCTGCTTGGCCGTCGAACCTCCAGACGAGATTCAGACGACTGACTGCCTGTTGGGGACTCCAATTGCATACTCCATTCAATAAAATGCGAAGCTTGCCACCAGCGGCTTCATCTCCCCGTCTCGCTCCCTCAAGCCCTGTTCTTTGCGCGGGAGATGCTCGCCCCAGCTCCGTCGCTCCCCTAGAGTACAACAAAGTTGCCCCCTGTGTTTGTTGCATTTTTTGGCGCTTCGGCTTGTTTTGGCGCGTTCCTCTTGCACACTCGTCGCAGTCGCAGTCGACGTCGCTGCTTGTGATACCCACTTCCACCAATTACTTTTCTGTTCAAAAGCGATCACTTCGCTGCTGCCGCTTCGCTGCTCGTGAAGTTTTTTCGTGGCCGGCGTGTGACGACGACGACGACGACGAAATCTCTTGAAAATCGTGGTTCAATTCCCTTTAAGAAAAACAAGTGAAAACACCGGGAAAATAAAGCATTTTTCCGCTTATTGGAAGGTAAAACCAATTGCACAATGATCTGATTGGACGAGCGGCAATACGAAATTCCGAGTGGTATAAAAAATGTATGACGCGTGTGTGGTGTGTGACAAGTGTGTGTGGAGAGAGTGGGACAGAACGCTGCGTTTGCCGTCGTGTCTTTGCATTTTTTGCTACAAATACAACATCTTTTCGCCAGAAAATTGACACGCTGTAGGATTTAACCGTTGCTCTCTGATTGGCAAGACAACCGAGTACCAATGGTTTCCAATACAAACTTATACAGTGTACCAAAAACTCCGATTAGAGTGCCCCCATTAGCAAAAGTGTCCTATTAGAATTTAACTGTTAACTGTTATCCAATGGGAGAAAATTGGAAAAGCCCGTGAAAGAAACGAAAGCTTCCCATCACCTACAATAGTGCAATGAGTTTCTTATGCGTAATGGGAGTTCAGTGAACTATTACGGAGTTTCTTATTGTAGGAGGATTGAAGTGCAGCTTATTGGTTTACCCAGCTGTTTGGGCCAACTTTCTAATCTTTCTCCCGCCCGAATTGCACTTTTTCCCGCCATTCGCATAGAATTTGGGCGGTAAAATAAAAATGCGCCAGCCCAAACGCCTAATTCGCGCCACTTTGTGCTCTTTTCATTTATGTACGCTTCCTCCAATGACACACACAAGCACACACTTGGAAGAAATGTGCTCGCTAAGAGAGAGGGGAGGCGCTCTTTCTCTTTCTCGCGCGCTCTTCCGTTTTATTCCAATCAGAACAGCGAGTCAAGTTATTTCTCCCCTTCCCAACACCAACAACAAACAAAAACGTTTTAGTACTGCGCTGCCGCCGTCGACTGCGGCAGAGGCAGTGGCAGCGGCAGAGGCAGCGACGGCGAGAAAAGTTCAACGCAACACTTCGAACATTTTGAAAACTTGACGAGAGCGAAGCAGAGGTCAAAGCAAAATGGGGAAAAAGAGTAAAGCACAATATAATGAAGTACTATGTCAAAACTGGCGCAAAAGTCTTAGGTACACGAACAAAAATTGGCAGTAATAATCCATGTTAGCACATGCAAATACATACATATCACATATAATTTCACTGCTGTTTTTGTCAAGCATATTCACAGAATTTCAATTATTGTAAAATCATGATGTGTATTGTATGTATAAGAGTAGTAACTATGTACGCGTTTCTAACCGACGAGTGAGCGAGACAGACAGCTTAGTGGAGAATGGAGTTCATTGATATTTCTCTGCGATTTGCTTTCGCCTCCCCTTCTTCTCTGCCTTGCTTCCCGCCATCTTCGTTCTCTCCTCCTCTCCCTCTATTGTTTCCATTTACCTGCCGCAATTCATGTTGTTGTTTTCTTCGCAATTTTTGGATTCTTTATTTTTTGCATTCTTTTGGCGTTGTTTTTTGTGTATTAGCTTTCTGCGCCGTTAAACTTTGGGAGTGGGCGTGGCGGGGGTGTGTGCGGAGGTGGGTGGTGTATTGTTGATGGGGTGGATTTTTGTATACCTAATTTTTCGATTATGTCATGATCGCGCCGAATATCCGTCGTTAAAATTTAGATTTGAACAGTTTAAATTATAGGCACATAATTATACTTTTCTTGAGAATTGATTTCGAAAATACTGTTTGCATTAAGTTTTTGATGATTCTGTATATTTGTATATTTATTGTATATTTTATTGCATATTCTCAAAATTTAGTCGACCAGGTGATGGGATATCCTTTTGTTTGACCATCCACATACTCCTTATATCACCTATTCAAATCCCAGTAAGCACCTTTCCATTCTTCTCGTGATCAAGTGCTTCCCACCTTCGAAAGCGGCAGGTCATCAAAGGATTTTCTAGATGATATGGGAAACCAGACTGATCTCGAATATTTTTCCATCATAATGGTTATTGGAATCACACATATCAACTGGTCATATTAAACCGAATTCCTGGTAAAATACCATCAATATTTCTCAATTACAAGTGCGGAATGTTTTACAAATATTACATGCTCTAAAAAAGGATGGGTTGTGAATACTAACTCCTTAAAGAAATGGTTCATTTTTGTTGTAGTCCATACACATTTTTGTCGCTGCGGCAGAAGAATCCGATTCGAAATCGGAATGAGGTGAAGCCGTATGTATGAGGGGCAGAAACAACAATGATAAACAGTTTCCAGTTATTCCCAGACAAACAAAGGATAGTTCGACTGGCGATTTGTGAAGCGGTCAGCGGGGAACGGGGAGCGGGGAACACAGGACGCAGGCCACTTGAGCTGGGCATCCTTTTAGACGCTGCTAAATATAAACTAAATAGTCAATTGAGCGCGTCCCGATGTCCTAACGGCTACTTCAAGGCCGTCAGTTCCTGGAACTGGAACGCCGCCGCCGTCGCCGCCGCCGCTCCATTCAAGAACTTTGATTTGTTCTCCTCCATCGGCTGGGCCGGCTTTACTTTCACACGCCGTTTTGCCCAGGCGGCGCTCTTCAGATACGCGGCACACAGATACTCAGATACACGGACGCAAAGATACGCTGATGCGCGCAGTCGAGGATCGACTTTCCTGTTTTCGTTTGCGCTACCCTGTAGTTGGGTGTATGCGACTGCCAGTTTTCGCTGAAACCCTCGCTGAATCATTAAACACATTTAAGAGTATGAACATAGCATCAAAGATCTGTTACCAAAATTCAATCATCTGGGCAAGGTATGCCAGAGAGACATGGGTTTTTGGTACCCAGCAATACACGAAGATGGATTAGAACCTTTATTATGGTATTATATTATAATAGATGAAAGATGATGAAAGAGATGTGGCTTAGATAATATCTTCCGAACGAACTACGCCACCATTGTGCCCAGTAATATGGAGCTCGGGGTTACACAACTCTTGCAGACTTTCGGTCCTCCGAGTTCCAGCTAATTGCAAGAGTTGTGGCCAAACCACAACAATGGAGAGGAGGGCGGCATTGGCGTGGACAACGCCACAGATACCCAGATGCATGTGCATTTATCTCGAGTATCTCAGGAATGTATCTCGCCGCATGTGCAGAGCCCAAAATGCAGCCCAAAAGGACGCACAAAAATTGCAGGCCCAGACAGTCGAAGACGCCGGATAACTCGAGACCTGTTTTCCCTCTACATATGTATATAGCATGGCATGGTATATACTCGAGATACATACATTTTTGTACATATTTTTTGCGCTCTCCTTTGCGCATTTTGCGCATTCTTCTTTGCATTGCCTCAAGTTGCATTTCATATTGTATCTCAAGACTTGGTCCCATTTCCTTGTGGGAAATCAGCCGCACAAAGCAAATATTCCAAGATGAGAGGCCTTTGGATTTGCCGAAAAATACGGTCGACTTTATATTCGAGACTTGGTTTTCCAGTTAAATGACCTTGAAGGACCCCGTCCAGGTAAACAGATTCACTCATGCATCGTGCACCTTTAATTAGGCGCTGTGTGAAAAGGAAACCCCTGCGTTTATCCGCTCGATCCGCGGCATTATTCATATTTGTATACCTGTCGCCGCGGATTTCCCCCGAACTCGCAGCCTTCTTCACTTAATCTTCGTTAGAGGAAGTTGCAGCCTGCGTGTGGGCAGTTCTTGCAATTAGTTAGGGATCTATCTTAGTCCTTGGTATTTGGACAAGGAGAATTGGTCTAATACAGTCATTTGTTTGCCAAGAGCCCCTGTCAACTGCTTCGTAAAACTGAAGGATATTTTTGTTTGCATATATCCTTATTAATGAATATTAATTTTAAACCATTTGTAATAGTTAACCCGTGATTTACAAAATAGATAATAGTCCGAATGATTTTAGATTAATAACTAAAATGAGCAAATTGTTGATTGAAACTGAAAGAAACTGTTTTAGGTTCTTAAAGATACACAATCGTTTTGTGATTACAATGTTGATCTTCACCCATTTAGATGATCTAAAAACTAGAGGTTTTAGATTTGAAACATATTTCAAAATAACCAGAGAGACAACTTTTTATAGATATTTCTTTCTCGGAAATTGTATAAAGAATAGTCAGGGGGTTGAAAACTAAGAAAGCAAAAATGCTTTAAAGGAGTTCGGGGAAGAAGAGGGAACCCAATTAATTAGGAGGCATATCCGCAATTAGTGTGAAAATGATGGTTGCAAACAGCAAAATATTGTGCATGAGAAAAGGCCGGAAAACGCATAGGAAAAGCGAGGCAAAAAGTGAGGAAAATAGACAATACGTTGCGTAAGAACGAGAAAGTAGGGGAAGAAAGTCGTTGGCTAAAAAGCATTCGCATATGGGGTAGGAAAAAGGTGTCGAACTGAATGGTAGGCCGAAGGGAGGTCCATAAATCGTGGCGAATATAACGCCAGGCCCATATGTCACACGGAAAAAGGAAAATAAATGAAGCAAAGAAGAAGAAAGGAAGAGGCACGAGGAAGGGGAAGAAGGGGATGGGGAAAAAGGAAATGCGACAGGATACAATTAGCGAGGGGGGAAGTCAATTGAAGTTACAAAAGCAACAGCAGAGACATGGCCAGAATCCTTTCAGTTGGGGTAGGACCTTCAACAGCTGCCGCTCCCCTTCCCCTTCCCCTCGCTCACCTGCCCCGCATCGCATCGAACTCATCCTGCAGTTCTAACAGAAGGTCAGCGATCAACTCTAGCCACAACAGGTGCATCGGGGCAATAAGGAGTCGCATTGGCTCCTCGATATAATTAAGCGTTGTAAACCACTAGAAAATGCGGACGTTGCGCATGCGCCGAATGCGATGCACCTGACGTCGGTACACTCAGAAAAATGCACTTATCTAATAAGTAATGCATTGAAAAACAGAAAACTTAATGCATAACTTACGTAGTTACACATATTTGTTAATAGGATACTGATTTAATAGCACACCCATTTATTTGAATATGCCCACAGTTTTGCGTAGTGTACAGGAAATTCAAGGGGAGCAGCTGAGGCTGAAACTGCAGCAGAAGGCATCACTCGAGACTCGTGGAAATTCTATTATTATAAAAAAGATGACCATTCCGTGACTACCTGTTAAGATGACCCAACTCTAGGGGACTCCCACCCATCTTTCTATTTAAGTAATTTGAATATCTTAGACTTTGCACCCCAAGATGCATGTTTACATTTTTCGTTCGCTCTGCTAAAAGCAAAAAGTTGGTGTATTTATGTTTTTCGAGAAAAACGCACGTAAACAAATTTGTTTGGGGTTTTCAAAGCGAGGAAATTCCTCGGCCACATGCTGTGTGTGAGTTTCTCTTAAGGATCTTAAGGATCATATGTTGTTTTTTCCTCGAGGATCTAAAGATAATGTTGGAATAACTGTTGATAGGTTTTGTGAAGTCGTAAAAACTCAAAAACGCGTCCCATGTGAAGACCATATCTTAGACTGCCTTATCTCAATATTTATTTTTTTATTTTATTTTATATTTATAATTGTTGACCTTTGCTTTACAATTGCTTAGGTATTTTACTAATTTTATAATTTGTTTATTTTATTTTCAGTTCATTTTAAATTATTCCGTCTTTTCAAAACATTTCTGCTTTTGACGAGCAGCCTTAAAAAGATTCAGGATCAAGTACCTTGACGGCTTCTCAAGGCCGTACAATTATGGGTTTAAATGCCAAGAGGTATGTTTATTATGATTATTTTATAAAACAAGTATTCCTATTTTCAAAAAATTGCTTGTACAACAAAAATATTAAATAATTAACGATTTTTGTTATGCTTTAAGAGGTAAAGGATATTTATGTTTAAAGTGAATTACTTTTTTTGTAAAGGTCTTAGTTTTTAGCAAAGCTGCGTTTTTTTCTTGACTTCATTATTTTTGATCTTAGACATTTCCTTTTCCCATCAAACACTTTTCGTGACTTCCATTTCCTCCACAGCCCTGACCAAACTAATTAGCACCCCACATGAAAGCGACTCCCCAACGGTCTGTAATGCCATTTGTTTCTAACTTCCTGTGGCGACATCCGATCGACTTCCTTTTTACCACTAACTATCCTGGTAGGCAGCACGTCTCCCTTTAATTCTCTTAACCAAAAGTGATGTTTATCTAATAGCTATTTCGTAATTATAAAGCGACAGAGCCCAACTGGTTATGCCCGAATACTCCGCGGGAAGTAGGACCCGCAGTAGCTACAACCACTCGGGATCCTACTGTTCCAAACCTTCCGACTCAAGTGCGATAATCTAAAATGCATTTTCACTGTCAATTTCCAAAAAAAAAAAAGAAAAGCCATCTGCTTGTAGGTGTTAAAGTCGAAGCAGCGTTGATAACCAAGTGCCGCATTCCTCAACACTCTGCATACCTTTGCAGGACCTTCGTCGAGGTCCTGCGTGTGATTAGTATATAATTGCGCGCGAAAATGTCATTAGAAAAGTGTTTAGTTGTGGGACGGTTCAGGTCAGCTTGGTCATTCAGGGGGTTGGGTTTTAAGGGGGTTTGTTTGGTCCCGCTTGATAATGCTGTCACTGCAGACACACACTTTTTGTGGCTTTTTAAGGCATGTCGTGGACAAAAATTAATTGAGTTTAATATGTTTTTCACCCTGCACCATATATTCTTTTTGCCTGTAGGTGCCTGCGCATGACCATAATTGCATAATTGCCCAGTCATTTGGTTTTGTCAGTTGCGTCCCCTTTTTTGCCATTCAACATCATCATCATCATCCTCACCCACTGCCACCCCCTGCGACCCACTGATCACTGCGATCACTTAAGTGATAGTCCATTTTATGGACATATTTCGTGGTCAGCGTGTGTGCGACATAATTATTGGTATGTGTTGCGAAACCATTTCCCTGCCATCTATAACGGAATTTATCAAAAATGTCACGGAAGTTACATTTCAGGCAATTACGATTTCGTTGCATACTTTTGCGGGCATGGAACGCATATATTCACGTAACCTGAAGAGTTGAGAGCAACCACTGTGGCTCCACGTAAATTCCCAAACATAACTGTTTCGTGGATACAAAGTGAACGCATAAATAACTTATTTGTAATCGGAAAGTCGCCGTTTTACAATTTATCATGTGAGAAAGATCGATCCTGCGATAGTCCACCTATTATCCACTGGACCAGATTCCAGGAACTGCTTCTTAGAATTTGTTCATGTCATCTCCTACCCTTTGCTACCTACAGGGATTCGGATTTGAAACGGCATAAAGGGGGAAACGAAACCGAAACAAGGTATCTGGCTTTGCCGCAAAGGAAAGGAAACTTTCACCTCGAAATGACAAATTTCAGTTTGAACCTTAAGCCGCGGCGATGGCTGGAAACCCCTGACCCCGAAACCCTGAGTACAAAGAAAGAAAGCGGGGAAAAACTTGAAGGCCGCGTGCACGTACGCTCCATTAGTCCTTTCTCGCCATAACTCATTTTTAAGCGATTTCATTTCCTCGTAATTTACTACGTGATTACTTTTTCTTGTTCATTAAACCATTAAACCCGATCGATAGTGCGGGGCAAGGATCAAAACAGGAGGCTGCAGTGCCGAGCCTCTGGCCAAGAAAGAAATGGCTAAAGCATTTGAATTTATGTGCAGCAGCCCTTTTTTTCCGTGTTATCCCTTTACAGGAGTTCCTTAAGAAGGGTTTTTGGTCCCAAGGGTTAAATTCCTTCTGTTTTCTTTCTACTGAGCTCCTCGCTCAAATTGCAAAAATTCGCGCATCGAATTGCTCAAAGTGCAGTTGCTTGCCTCGCAACACTTGAGAGTTGCGGCGCAAGGATATAACAGCTGTCCTTTCAAGTACGGAGAATTGTATTCTTCCCTTTTGCCAGCCTCTTGCATTATGGTAATGTGCATGCAAATTTGCCAAAATTGCTCAATCTCGAGGAGGAAAGGCTTTCCTCGGGCCCTCACAACGAACCCATTTCCATTTCCATTTCCAGTTCCCCCGATCAGTCATCTCGATTTCAATTTCCCGGATGTTAAATATTAATGTATCCGCCGGGCGCCTTAATCTCGAGTCTTGCATCGCGATTCGAATGCCGTGTCAAAATTCAATGAATTTATGTTCGTTTCGTTTGTATCTATTCTAGAACGCCCCTATGTGATTTGCTGCCCTGCCTCCGTGGCATATTGAATTTCTCTGTTTTGCGAAAAAGAGGAGAAATTCGAAATCACTGAGCACCAGCAAATCGTACAGTGGTTTTGGACTATTTTTCTACAAAAATATGGGGTATACATTCATTCGCAAATAAATTATAAGAAATTATTAGCTTAGTTATGTGTGCAACTATGAGCAACTTAGCGCTTTAATGGAAAATAAAATAAATATATTCCTAACTTAAGAGCCCACTGTACCGCTGCTAATTCCACTCACTTTCTTTTTTTGCAGTGCTTGTTCTACCAGCAGCACTGAGCCAAATGGCAGCGTAGTCAGCATAGCCCCCAGCAACGGAGAAGTCAGCAGCAGCATTGTCGTCGTCGTCAGCAGCAGCAGTAGCAACAGCAGCAGCAGCCCAATCCCAATCCCAAGTCTAAATCCAAATCCAAATCCAGTCGCAGCACCATCCCCTTCAGCGTCCCAGCCACCAGGATCCTCAGCAGCCTCCAGAGCCGTCGAGATGTGCTCCTGTGATAGCCAGAACCTTGCAGCATCCACAGCGGCGACTTCCAATGGCAACAAACGTAAACGGCGTTTAAGCAGCGACTCAAACGATGATGCCAAGGTACGTAATCCATACGAATCGTACTTTCAACTCAAAGCCAGCCACAGCAGATAAGTTTTATGAATGGAGTGCTTTATCATGCATGTGACCTCGTTGATTTTTGCAATCTTATCAGGGCAACGCGAAGCAATCTGGGAGGAAGCCGATGATCAACTGTTGCGCTGCAAAAGTGCCTATGCATTTGAAATTAATTAAATGTTGCTATTACCGAACTATTGAACTCTGGGCGTTCTCTGTTCTCTGATTTCACGCAGATCAGTGATTTCTAGCGTTTCTAGCGTAAATAGAAACTATTTTAAACCAATGATTTGCAGATGCTAGACAATTATACTCTATAGACTCAACGATTTAGTTAATCCCGCGTATATTTCTGAATAATATAAAGTATGAGCATAGCCATATTTATCTATTCGATTTGAGTTTCCCAATTGTTTTCATTTCATCACCGATCGCTAAACAACTGCCTCTTTTTGTATGTTTGGCAAGCGATCTTCTATTTGCACTTCCATTTGAATGGACAGCCCTTTGGTGGCTTCCACTCGCTGGCTGCCGATCTTCATTTGATCTTTCGCTGCTTGAGTTCTAGCCAAATAAGCCGTTGAGCACGTAGACAGCTACTTGGCACTCTTGCGCTGGCACAATGCAAAGATGAGCCCAAAAATAAACGCTACTTACTGAAGAAAGGGCTCATTTAGCAGCATCCTTGGAAGCCTTGAAGTCAGATCTCCGCTCTCAAGTAGCTGCAATCACAGCGGAGAACAATGGCTTCCTCATGGGCAGCTGTGTTGGTGCAAAGGATTTTTTCCAGTGCCATATGAAATATGGCGGGGATAGAGTATTCTCCTCTACGTGCAATGAAATGGTTTGCTGAAATGGTTTGCCCGCTGGTTAGTTTGGTACCCTATGGAAGGGTATCTTCATTTATACCAGAGTATAAATACAAACTACAACTTTTTAGTTTTGCTCGTGTCGTATTAATAGTTTTATTAATAACCCAAACATCTAGAAGGGCTCCTCCTTTTTTGTTCCATTTAAATTATTGATAAGTTCCTTATAAATCGGTTGTAGTTGGCTTAAATTGCGAATATTTCATAATTTAAACTGGGTAGACAAGGGTATTTAAACTGTCTGTTGCACAGAAAAAGGTATTCTCCTGGGTTATTTTTTGCTTTTTTAATTTTTTTGTTTTTGCAACGTTTCTGCGCCTGCTTTCCTGCCCAACAAATGTCATTCGCGTAGGAAAAAAGTGGATGGCAAGGAAACGTTTGGCCCCCTTCAGGCGAATTGAGTAAGGGAATTCCGAAGGGGTCTTGCCAGTCTGCCGAGCATATGCACGCCAGGACAAAGGAGTCGGAGCAGGAGCAGGAGCAGGAGAGGCACTACGAGGACAGAAGGCGTCGTTGCGCATGCGCGCACACCTTGAGTCCAAGTCCGAGTTCTCCAGGGGTGGGTTTGCCAAAGTCAAGGCGGCGGCAAATGTCCGTTAGGGCCGTGGTAAGAATTTGAAATTGCGATAGTTATAGGTTAGCTTGAGGCAGAAGAACTAGATCAAGACAGTATCGGGATCGGGATCGGGATGGGTAAGGGGTAAGGGATCGCAGTGACTACCGGAATGGGACAGAGCTGAAACCGCAACACACGAACGAGCCGACGGAGGGGTTGAGCAACGCCTTATCCTTTTCAAGGATCAGTGGGCCGAGTTTTTCCCTTTTCTTTTGGCTCTAATTAAATATTCATCGAGACGACATTTGCTTGCTTCTGCGGAAGATTCGGCGCATATATAATGCTTTCCAACTGGGTTGCATTTTGCTACCCCGTTTCGGGACGTGTTATCCTTATGCAAATGCGTTGCCCGATCCTGCGACGTCTGCTCATTAGATTTCCGTTAAACTTTTATGCAAATCATCCGGCTCCTTCTGAAAACTCTTATGTCATCTGCTTTCGAGGAACGCACAACGCTGCTCCTGCATCGGAATGTGGTCTTGAAATATTATACAATATTTGTTTTGCTGCTGGCACAGGATCAAAATTATGGTATTATTTTACCAATTTGTTAGTGTAATGTCAACCCCTTTTTCTTACTCTTTACATGGCAGGCATGAAATCGCCGAAAGTTCTTTGTGTTTTTTTGGGAAACTTCTTTGTTTCTTTTGTCCCGAAAGGGGAGTTGGGTTTGCGTTCGTCTGGGTTTCCCTTCGATGCAATCAAGTGCGGTTCTTGATTTCTGTCAAGTCAGTATCGGAACTTTGTGGGAATCTGAATTCAAGTTTCAGTTTCCCAGATTGCATCCCGTTTTGGGATCATGCATCGCCTGCTTTGTAATTCAGTTTTTTTATTTTAGAGAGGATTTTATTTAGCTGGAGGTAAACAAGAGATCTGTTTTCAGATTAATTACTTTTAAGATTCTGCTGATAAGCAACTAGTTTTTGGGCATATAAAGTTGAAGGGAAAAAGAAGCAAAGGTTTAAAAGTATATCATATCATAAAAGATTTAATGATTAATCAAGAGACTGTTGCGCTAAACTTATTTCAATGACTATAAACATCACCAAAGAAGTTCACATATCCCCTAAAGGAAAATGTCTTTGCCGAGCATTAATCAAATTCATTTTTCGCATACAAATTCATTCGCGGTTTGTCCTTTGTCCACTTACCCTCCTCCCGTTTCACCAATGGGTTATGCTTTAATTCGTTTTGTCATGGATCTAACCAATTGCATGATTAATTACATGTCCAAGCGATTTCTCTGCCCCCCTGGCCGCCGAAATTTTCCATTTTCCCGATGATAAATTCGGCAATGTCACCGCGAAAGTGGCGTGTTGGATTAACCCTTTCTGGACTGACCAGGGGTCAGTTGAATTGCTTGGAAATATGAGTGTTTGTTATGGTCCTTCGGGGATTTGTCCGCTGGCATGTTGTTTGCATATCATTTATTAAAAGCAGAGCAGCGTCGATGTTCCACAAGTGGACAGGACTTCATCATCAGGGCAATTGTAATTTGTCAGCTTTTTGAGTCCTTTCAAGGAAATCATAATCCTTCGAAACTGCAAACTGAAAAAATATAAACAACTACCGCACATGGCAGAGGAAAATTAAATGTTATCAAAAGACTTGGGGGAGAATTGGGAACGAAAAAAACTGTAAGAAAAGAAAAATAAAAGGAAACAACAATGCATATTACACGAATGCAGCGGTGGAAAAGTTACACCTGGACCCACGCCAAGGTCTGAAAACTAAAGGTGTTTCGGTTTCGAGCAGACGGCCGTCCAAAGATTACGACACATAAGCGCAGGACCTTATAGGATAGGCAAAATGGAGAGGGAGAGCGAGACACAATGGGGCACCAGGACATCGAGTATTGAGGTCGACGACGCAGCAGAGGTTGTCGCCTAACAATCGAATCGCTTCTTGACTTCTTTTTGTATGTACCCCATAGCTTGAGGAACTGCATCATCTGTCCCTGGCGACCCATGGTCTCCCTCCCAGCGAGATCTCGAGAGATGTTTTGGGTGCCTTCCCTGTGGGCTGCGATTTTGAAGGAGCTGATCGAGATGTGAAGGATTGAGAACGCAGCAGCAGCTGCCTCCTTGGACTTGCGACTTAAATCCTTGAGACAGCGGCAGCGGCGGCGGTGGCTTAAGGGCAACAACCCAGTTTAACCCTTGTTAAACTTGGGATGCAACCCTCCGGGTCCATCCATATTGGTCCAGATTCCAGCCCACTTTACAGTTCACTAATTTCTCACACTCACTCGGCCGATCTTTCTCTTCGCATCCGTCATGTCGTTAAGTGAACTGGGCATTTTCTTGCATAATCTTTCTGATTCTGTAACGCTTGACCAAATCCAAACGGCAGATGCAATGTCCACGCACCAAAATGGAAAAACTATGTGAAATAATGAGGCTAGAGCAACGGAATGTCCATTGTGCAGGGAGATGGCTTCTTAGGCCATTGCACGCTTTGATTTTAATTACATTGCATCTGGGTGCCTTGACATGTGTCCATATCCATGTCCATTTTCATTTTCATTCTACGATTGCCATTCCCGGTTACCTACATCATCTTCTCCTCGGAGGGTTGTTGCAGTTTGTTGGCCAGAAGAATAAGAAATTAAATTTGTCATGCGTCTTGGACCTTCCTGCCTTGCCTCAAAAAAATGTATTTTTCCTCGACTCCAGAAGGGGAGTTCTTCTAGGTATGTTTGTCGAGAAAAGGCAAACCTACTCAGACAATTAAGAATGTCACATAAATATCGCAATATTTTCCCCCAATTTTTGCCCAAGAAATTATGTGAAAATCTTGAATGGCCAGCAGGGTGGGTTGATATTGTTAAGCTTTTACGACGTGTGAGATTGACTGTTAAGAAAGTTGACGAAATGCAGTTCGTATTTGATAAATTATATGGTGTGCACACCTTTTTCAATCAAAGGAAGGATCAATTGCAATCGTAAACCAAAAGAAATTGTAGAAAAACGGATTCGAATGGATTTGTAGCGTTGATTTTATATCTTTTATAGGCTTATTGCTTGGTTTTATGCGCAGATATGCCAATTTAATATGTTTGTAATGTATTTATCAAGTGTAACTTTATAGTTACCCGCTCAACATTTATTTTCATAGTTTTTATTCAAAATTCAGGCATTCAAATCGAACTAAAGCTACAGCTGAGAAACAATAGTTTTGTTGAACTGTCTTCTAAAACTTTCTCAATAGTTTTTTAGGTAAAACTGCATTTACTCGCAACTGCATTTTTTATGATATCAGCAATCCAACCGAATGACATCTGTGTCCCATGCTGACTACATTTCATTGTTCTTTATGGACTTTCTGATTTTGGCTTCTGTTTTCCATCATCTGTCTGCAAGAACAATGGTCAAGGATCTCGATTGTTTTCGATTTTCGTTTCCATTTTCGTTTTTTTTTTTTGTGTCATTTTCGTGCTGTAATCTTGTGAGTCGGTCTCCATTAGGCTCGCTCTACTTTTGGCTTTGGCACCGCCTCATCCCTCTGATCAATGCCAAAAGATAATTTATTATTTGAGTAGCCTCCAAGATGCAGGATGTGTTTAAGGCAGCTCGAGCCAAAAGCTATGATGCTAGCAAACAGTAATTTATATACTCCCTATGTATTGACTATTATGTGTCGCCGTTTTGAGGGTCATGTACATAGGTAGTGATTTTCCGAACGTCTTGCGTGTGTCTACCTGGACGGAAATGTTGACAAAAATAATTGTAAAAAGGATCAGGAGCCACGGCCGTCAGGGGGATTTGTTGTTGGGCTGATAAACACCCAGAGGCGAAAAATGCAATGCTGCTGCAAAGGCAAAAACAACATACGTCCGTCGTCTCAAGAAGTACGGATATCTTTGGGAAACCAACCCCCGACGAAAAGGGACGGCAAGTTGCTGCGGCGATCCTGTTTTACCGCTGTTCTTGCAGCAGCGGTAGACTGAGAAAAGCAACCCCTATTTTTTTTGAGACCGTTGCATTCGTTGGGCAGGATAACGATGATCGGGGAACTCGGGGCATTCGGGGATCGGCGATCTGGAACGGAGAACGTCGAGCTCAGTTGCACAGCGCACGTCAACGCGATTGGTACTCGATCAAGCCAAGAGCGGTGTTAGCCAGAAGAGCAAATAAAATAAATATACAAATTACAAAATAGCCATACAAAGTGAAAACAAAATCCAAATTATTCGTTGCCAAGTAGCAAATGTTGAGACTGATAAATATATTTGTACAAACCACACGCAGCGAGTGCAAAGAACTAATTTAAGAACCGGATTTGCCAAGATCACACAGCAACAACAGCAACTACAAGAAACCAAAAACGAAGCCAAAAATGTTTTAATGCTATAACCAAAAATCTGTTTGCACAATTATTTAATCAAACCAAAGAAACAGCGCAACAAATTATTTCCAAAGACTGCTACTAAATTTATAACATCAAAGTAAGAAGTGCAATAACAACCATCGCGTTATATGTTGATCATACCAAAAATATCCAAAAGAAACAAAGAGCAAAACGCACCCCGTTCCCACGAGCAAAATCCAACCAAGTGTTATTGTCTTACCTCCATGCCATCGCATAGTCCTTGATCTTTTGTGCGAAGTCCTGGCTTTCATTTTGTGCGGGTGCATTGGGTCCATCTATCAAGGATTACCAATTTTGACAGGCGTGCCCACATAAATTTCTCCAAACCTCCTACGCTAATTAAATTCGGAGCACGTTTCTAATCCCGCCACCCGTGTGATCCTGTTGTTGACTTGAGTATCCTCTCCACTCATTTGTTCATGTTATTATGAAGTTGGAACAGAAGCGCAAATTTATTGAAATGGTAATGGTTGTTTGCTTACACCTTTGTGAAATATGAACTCGTATTAAAAAGAGATCCTTAGCCCTCTTCATTTACTTGTACAATTCACGTACTTAAACATCTTTCCTCTCTCTTTTCAGGACCCTGAACTCGGTTTTGAGCCTCCATCAGCCAAGCGCCAGCAGCGAGTGCCCGCTCTGTACGGCAGCGACCAGGGCAATCTTTCATCGGTGGCCTCCTCGGTCTACACCTCGCCCGTTGTCTCGGTGGATGGCCAGAGCACCCAGGAGCTGCTCAGCATACGTAGCTCACCGGCCGAGGAGCTCCTGGAGGCGCCACACAGTCCGCTGCCGGACAGCCCGGACAGTCCGCCGAGTCCGGATCGTGGAAGCAAGCAGACGCCAGTGGTGGTGCGCTACGCTGTGGAGAAGGTGGTGACCACCACAACGGTGGTCACGCAGAAGACGGAGGATGATGACCTTTTGGACGATAGCTGCGAGGACTACTCGTACGACGAGGATGAGGAGGATGATGTCGAGGAGGAGGACGACGACGAGGAGATCTACTCCTCGACAATTTCTCCAGCCTCCTCCGGCTGCAGTCAGCAGCAGGCGGTGAATGGCGAGCGTACTCCCGGTCTGCCAAATCACCAGGAGCAGATCCACAATCCGGTCAGTGACTTGATGATCAATATGCGGGCACCAATGTCGCCGGCGGTGGAGAACGGTCTGCGCCTGTGCCCACTTCCTGCGCTCACATGGGCCAACGCCGCGGATGTTTGGCGCTTGATGTGTCATCGGGATGAGCAGGACTCGCGTCTGCGCAGCATATCGATGCTGGAACAGCATCCCGGACTGCAACCACGCATGCGCGCCATCCTCTTGGACTGGTTGATCGAGGTCTGTGAGGTTTACAAGCTGCATCGGGAGACCTTCTACTTGGCCGTCGATTACCTGGATCGCTATTTGCATGTGGCGCACAAGGTGCAGAAGACACACTTGCAGTTGATCGGCATCACCTGCCTGTTTGTGGCCGCCAAGGTAGAGGAGATTTATCCGCCAAAGATCGGGGAGTTTGCTTATGTGACGGATGGTGCCTGCACAGAGCGGGACATCCTTAACCACGAGAAGATCCTGCTGCAGGCCCTCGACTGGGACATCAGCCCTATTACCATTAACGGCTGGCTGGGCGTCTATATGCAACTGAATGTGAGCAACCGCACACCGGCCTCGTTCTCCCAGATTGGCAGGCAAAAGTCCGCGGAGGCGGACAATGCCTTTATCTACCCGCAATTCTCTGGCTTTGAGTTTGCGCAGACCTCACGGCTGCTAGATCTGTGCACCCTGGACGTGGGCATGGCCAACTACTCCTACTCGGTGCTGGCAGCTGCCGCCATCAGTCATACATTTAGTCGGTAAGTTAGCTAAAGTTATTTTCCATACGAATTGTCATCTTACCGAATATTTTCTTGATTTTAGGGAGACGGCTCTGCGCTGTTCTGGCCTGGATTGGCAGGTGATTCAGCCTTGCGCTCGCTGGATGGAGCCCTTCTTCCGAGTGATCTCCCAGAAGGCGCCCTACCTGCAGCTGAACGAGCAGAATGAGCAGGTCAGCAACAAATTTGGTCTGGGCTTCATCTGCCCCAATATTGTCACTGACGACTCGCACATCATCCAAACGCACTTCACTACCATGGATATGTATGTAAGTATCTAAGCATATACAAAAAAGTATGCAAGCGTCAAAAAGGGTTATATGTCTGATACGCTGTGGGCATATAGCGTGTATTACTCCGTCAGATACTTATTGAAACTCCTACCTTTCAGGACGAAGTGCTAATGGCCCAGGATGCGGCGCACGCCATGCGCGCTAGGATTCAAGCTTCTCCGGCCACCGCGCTGCGCGCTCCCGAGAGCCTACTGACGCCTCCCGCCTCTAGTCACAAACCGGACGAGTACCTGGGCGATGAGGGCGATGAGACGGCGGCCAGGAGCGGCATCTCTTCCACAACCACTTGCTGCAACACTGCCAGCAACAAGGGCGTCATGAGCAGCAGCAACAGTTCGGTGACCAGCTGCAGCAGTAGAAGCAATCGCTGAGAGATTGGCCTCACTGCTCTTGGCCATCATGCTCTCACACTCACCACACCCGCCCGAACAGTCTTTACGTTAAGTGTTTCTTATATTTAAATTATTTTTGTTAAGTGAAAAGTTATTAGTTGCCTAATTCCTATGCTAAAAACATATTTAATTTGAAATTATCCACGCGCTCTTGATTCTCAACTCGCGCTACAATCATTTTCCTCGCTCAGTTTAATATTTAACTTTGTGTATTTATAGAAAATCAGAAATATAATTTTTAATGTACACTATCTATAAAGCGCTCAAGCATATATATACACACTTAGAGTATAGCAGACCAGGCAAAACTAATTAACCATTAGACTATTATCTGCTGAAAAGAAGCACAACACCGCAACACAGCATTCAGTGGTGATGTTCTCACAAACTAAGTTGGGCGCCTCAAAAATGAAAAACAAAAAAAACTTTGTTCGCAATCAGACATGTCCAGCTGTCAGTCAGTTATCCATTTCAATCACCAAGTAGCAACTAACAACACTAAAACTGACAACAGAAGAGGGGCAGCAAAGGCCCAGAGCACAGAACTTGACTAACCAACTAAATTAGGCATATAAGTCGAGGGAATCTAACTAACCCTACTAATGCATTTCATTCGACCATTAATTAATTAATACTACTAACAATGAATCAACAAACAAGACAAGTCCACAGCTGACATGGAGTGACAAAGAAAATGGCAAACTGAAGAAGTAAAGAATTATATATTCATGAATTGAACCCCCAGAACAGACAATGTATTCATATATACATCATTGTACAATTTTTTTAATTAGACTAATTTGCCATAATTTGCTAAGCAAATAAATCCTGTACATAAAACAAAACGCACAAAAAACAAGAATTAACCCTAACTGAAAACGCATATAATATATTATTATATAAGTGTACAATTCTTTATATGGCTTAAAATATTTTATGTACATTCAAAAGGCAACCATGCAGAGTAGAAAAATATTATTATTCGTTAGTTTAGGCATAAATAACATGTAAGTGTTCATACGATTAAGGCTGGATTGAAAACAAAAACAAACAAAAAACAACTAAAAGAAAAGCAAACAAAAAAATCTAATTATGTTTTATTTTTAGTTTTAAAAGCAATAATCATTTTAAAATTATGAATTTGATTTTAAATAATTTCAGAAATACGCTTATATTTATGATTTGATGTTAATAAATAAACGATCGCAAAATCATAAACTAAACACATCAAGTTGAAATAAATCAGTAAATAAATATACTTTTGTAAATAAAACTGAAATCAACTCAAATGTTTCATTTTTCAAGGGTCATACTTGGCTACACAATGGTTACAAAAAATTGGGGACACCCTGGATGATTATTTTATTATATGAAATAAACAAAGAAATATGTAATTGCAAAAATGTTCTGTGTTTTAATCGTTGTTCCGCAAAACCTTTGCCGTTATATATGTATTACTATACAATATTAATATGTGAATTTGCTATATGTAGGTCAGTTAATAAGCTACTTTGTTGAATGGAACATAATTCAAATTAACCACTTTATATTTCAAATTATAGCGCCAATTACCAACGGTTCCACTTTGACCTCGATATCGATAGCTCTGTTAAGCCGCTAACATTCTGGAAGAAGTTAACAGAGGTAACGAAACCATCTGGCAGCACTGGCGCAAAGCAACCCCAACCGTTTTGGCCAAATTCGAGTTGAGAGGACGCAAGTTCGAACGGCGAGGTATCGAGGAATCGTGCCCCAAGAGCAGCTATCTGGCCCCAAATAGCACCAAGAGCGCACTCAGTTCGTGGCGAGAATCTGGCGAGTGTGGATGCGTTCCGAGCAGAAACCGCGTCCAAACGAAAACTCCTTTCTGCCCAATGCAATCCGCTAAACCGATAAAACAGAAAGAGGATAGAAGTACCAACTCAAAGTGCAATATTAATTATCACACTAAAAGGCATCAAGTGCTTTTGACTGGCCCTAAAGTTTGGTTTAAAGTTTCAAAGCCAGTTCGAAAATCTCTGTATCCCGCAGGATATCTTCAAAATCCAAACTTTGGAAAAAAATCCAATACAGATATCTGTGTATATGTATGTATAATGTATGTACGTGACCGTGTGCCTGTGGTAGTGGTGGTGGTGCAATAATTGTGAGCGCCAAAAAGCCGAAGAGACGAAGCCGCGCAGTCAAATAAATCTCTCGTCTCTCGTCTCCGTTCGCGCTTCTCGTTTTCGCGTCGAGTCGCGCCGCTTTCTCCAGTTCGAAAGTCGCGTAGTAAAAAGTGTCGGCAAATCTGCGCCCTGCTGCACCACCCACCCACTCAGCCACCTTGGCCACTTTGTTTTTGGTCAAGACTTTCGCACACTCGACTTCGAAATTCGAAATTGCGAATTTGGCGCGCACCGGAGCATCAAGTAAGTGAGAAAGTGGGCGAGAGAAAGAGAGTCCTTTGAAGAGAGAGAGAGTGAGTGAGAGTCCCTGTGCCACCGTTGATTGCACAATAAAATGGGCAAAACAAAGAGCCAAATAACTAACGAAAGCGTTGGCGAAAATTACTAAATTCCCATAAATTGGCTGAAGTCTCCATTGCTATGAGCATAAATCATGATTCGAGCAAAGACGGAATGCTGCTCTAGTGTGTGCGTATGTGTGTGTGTGTTCGTGCAGGTCCTTGCGTTTTGCGCGCCCAAAGAAGTATGCTACGCCGTTTTACTATTTACTACTACGCACGCTCCCCCAAAAACACACCGACACTAGCACTAACACCAACACACGCACTCGCACTCACAGGGGCACATGGCACATAATAACGGTTTATCGTGTACTATAGCATAGCCACGCAGCTTACGCAGCTGCGTAAAATCTCAAGGCTTGACCAATACCCCGTAACCTCTGGTTGGCCTTCCAATTCCCAAACTCCCCATAAATCCCCATCCCAGGGTCCTGCCTCCGCACCATTGTAAGCTGTTTACCCATATATAACCAATATATACGCTGTATGCTGGGGTGTGTGTGCGCCAAGTCATTTTGAGGATTTTATTTTATTTTTTGGCATCACGTTTTTTATGTCCCTTTTCGTCTAGCACAGTCACAGATATCTACCTATCAAAAATCATAGCCAAAAAATGTCAATCCTATGAGATAAGTTACCACATTGTATTGCAAAGTAAGTCCGTGGGCTTCGTAGTAATTAGAACGAAATGGTGTCTTTTTATTCAGTTAATCAAATTTTCATATCAGTATCATGTTCTACTGAACCAATGGACAACTAATATGTAAATGGTCTTTCAAAATGTGTGACAATAAATATTTCATATGGACTGTTTAAGGGCGAACATTCAGCAGATTTATAACTTATCAACATTTTATCCAGCCAGACACACAGACATATACATAAGTCTTTGGTTGTAAAAAGTTTTGTACGCCGTCTATTGAAATTTTCGCAGGCACATTAATTCCATTACGAAAACTCCCAAGGCCATATTGCTTTTAAGCTGCCGCTCTGTGTGGCCCAAACAAAACCAAAAAGTCAGGCCAAACATAAAACGGCAAAGGCAAACAAAACAGAGAGGCAAAATGTGTGTGGGGAGTAAAGTGGGATAGGAAAGGGCGAATGCGCAGGATGGGGAAATGGAAAAAAGAATGGCAGGAGCTAGCGATATATGCGATATAATAAATCTTTTGTATAACACGCAAAACTTTATGAACGTGCGCCAACTATAAACTTTCACTTTCCAACAATGGGCTCGTCCGTTTGACGTTGCCTGATGCCAACGTTGCGTATACGCCATGTTGCACATGCTTTTAATTTTTTTATCACTATTACTTTGCTTCATTTTTCCCAACCGAGACCACTTCTGTTACCTATTACGATGGCTTAGTCTTAAATGTACGATTTTTTAGATTTATGCAGTTGTTTTTTTTTATTTAATTAATAGTGGAGTATTTTTTTAGGTCAAGTCAAGTTGATCATTTCTTCGATCTTACTAAAGATATTTAGGGGCTTAATAGAGAACATATCTAAGACTCTTTTAATTACCAATTAGATATCATCAAAATGTTAAATTATGCTTTTAGCAATAATAATGTTTCTATACGAGTATGTTCACGTACTTTCAAATAGTTGTAGGATCTTAAATTAAAAAAATTTTCCCTTCGACTGGTGATTTAAGTTGTTTAAACTATAAATTTATAACTTATCCTAGTTGAAAACGAGCATTTCACATAATTATGAATTATTTTAAGCAAAGATTTAAACAAGTTGTGGCATATGAGGCAACAGTGGTTAGATTATGGGTAAAGTTGCTTGCTTTTGAGGGCTTGCAACAAAGTCGTTGACTTTCTGTTGGTTCTGCATGCGGTGCCGGTTCGATGTCGCATCCCCAGCGTGGATGGCGCTCCACTTCTGTCAAACTTTTTGATGTTGAGGCAGATGGGAAAACGGGGGAGGGAATCAGAAAAGCGTGCAAAATCCGGTTATATATACACATATTTAGATATGTGGAAGGGGCAGAGACGCAGGGGCGGGCATGTGGATGTCTGAGTGCGTATTGGCCGCAATAAATAGTCCTTCTTTCTTTCTTTCTTGCGGATGTGGTTGTTGCTGGCCTGCGGAAGAGGCAAAGGCTTGCAGCGTGTTTAATGAAAATTATTACGCGATATCCTTGGGGACGCACACAAGGGTTCTGTGTGGGCCGGATGTATGGCAATGTGCGCCCTGTTAGGGGGTGGCATGCCCATACAAAAAAGGACGATTCTCTGGCGAATGTATGAGTGTGGGTGAATGAGTGTGGCCGCCTTCCCACACTGCGCATGTACGCCAGATTCGAGTTCGAGTTCGAGCTCGAATACATCACGAAGTTGCGCCTTTCTGCATCTGTGTGAGTTATGCTACTGCATATGTGTTCGTGAGGGGTAGTGGGTGGAAACGCATTTCTAGGTCAAATCCACATGGAGCCAGGGAGTGAGCCCCATCCCCGTCCCCGTCCCCGTCCCCGCCCACAACCAAAATCGTAAAAACATATATTACTGAAATATTTCTGGTCTGTTTGTGAACCAAAATAAAACTATTCGTGAGCCAGTTAGTTCTCTTTTCCTTATTTTCGAAATAAATACCCATAGCAAGGCCGCAGGTCAAATTTTCGCATACTTAAATAAGTTTCGGATAGATTAATATATTCATAGATATAAAGCATAGATATTAAGCATAACCTAATTGATATTTTTTGCGTTTTTATTAGATTCCTGCGAAATAATTTAGTCATAACAATCATTAATGATTGCATATAAAACGTTGTAAGACTTTTCCCATTGCAGCATTAAATAATAAATACTTTTTTCTTTTTCAGGTTAAAACACACACTTAACCACATATCCCACTTCCAGATCAATTAACACTAGTCAACAAAAATATAACCGGCCAAAATAGGTGTAAAACGATGTTAAACATACCCGGTATAAGCAATACAGACTTTTGGCAACAAAAAGTTTGTGACTTTCAAGCGATTAAAGCGAGTATATGAAAACGCAATCGAAACTGAAATTATTTCTAACAATGCAGAGAAAATGTTCCAAAAAGTGTGAATAGGTGAAACAAAATCAATTAATTTCATATGTGAACTGTTCTGTGGTGTTTAACCCAAGTGCCGAGCACGAAACAATAAAAAGAATTTATACATTTCGGAAATTAAAAGCAATCGATAGTGAGTGTAGCCGCAAACAAGGGATTCGTGAATCGTGAACAATCAAAAACAAATTGATCCACATAAATACGCAAACGGACAGCAAAACAAGCGAAAATGGAGAGCAAACATTGGAGCTGCTTTGTGGCCATTGTGCTGGGTGTGCTTATATTCAAAATGCACATATTTGTTGCATTCGCCGATCAGGATGAGGATATACCGCACAACGAGTAAGTATTATTCATCATCCAGCATCTGACATCCGACTGGTAGCACCAACAGTTTCAATTATGCGTTTGCCCAATATTTTGGCAATTTCCTCGGACAGGAAATTAATTGAAAATTTGTTTATTGTGCCCGAAGCGTTTTTCCCCAGCTCATTGTTCTATATACGTATATAATCT